GCGCTCTGAATCAAAATGAGAGGCAGAAATGAAAATTAGTGCAAGTTCTAGGTTTGGTTACACTGCCTATAAAGAGAAAGACGGATGTCAAACATTCAGACAAGTTTGAAAGGAAACCAAATTTTGGTGTGCTTTTTTAAATAACGAGTGAATTAAGGAATAAAACAAAAGGTAATGGGAATGAGTGGTTCTCATGCGTACTGTGAACTTTCCATTCTAACAAAGCCGCAGGGGCTTTGGCACTTGATAGCTAAAGCCAGACATTGTATGAGCTTACAATGCTGCACTGAAGCCATGTGATCCACTGGTGCAGCAGCAACTCTAAAGCTGGAGCTCTCCCCACTCACAGGCTGTGTCCCCTCTCTTACAGCTTGGAGCACTTGCCTCCTGAGTTCATGACAGACTTTATAAAAGAGAGTGAAGAACAGGTCAAGGATAATGGAGCATGTGAGTAATCCTGCTTGAGTGCAGCCTTTGCTGTCTATGCTAAGCAAATTTTTAGTGTAACATTTTGAGGTCTAGTTACATCTATTAAACAAGCTGTTCTGTGTTCTATTATTACGGTATTATAGGTGTTGTTATGTTATGCTATTTCATGGATCTCTTTTTTTCATACGATCAAAAGAAGATAATGCATTTGATCATCTTTGCGTTGTACTCTTCACAGCCGAGAAAAAGTATGTTGAAGAGGTACTGGCAGGTGCGTCTCTGGCTCCTGCTCAATCCCTATGGACCACAGAGGCGAGTGGATCAGTGCAACTCCGAATAGATGAACTCTGTCCACAGGAACCCATCACAGTGCATCAGATGTTCATGACCTCAGTTCAGAAATATGGGAATTTGCCTGCTTTAGCAAGCAAGAGAAAAGACAAATGGGAAAAGATCACATTCTCTGAATACTACAATTGCTGCCGGATGGCTGCAAAGAGCTTTCTGAAGGTGACATAGATGATAAAAACAGTCTGCTTTAATTATATATTGTTGATTACTTTATAAACTGTATTGCCACAACCATACTCTTAATTCAGTGTAAACATCTAAATATCACAACATGAGCTGTCCTTGAGATTCTTACATTTTGAATCACAAAAATTATATTTATGTGTTTTAGTTGGGCCTAGAACGTTTCCACAGTGTGGCCATTTTGGGATTCAATTCAGCAGAGTGGTTCATTTCTGCTGTTGGAGCTGTCTTTGCAGGGTGAGAGAGAAATATAATGGTAAAACGTAGAAGGAGAATAAACATACATACATGTATTTATGGTTCATAATTCCAACAGGGGTTTAACAACTGGAATCTATACCACAAACTCACCAGAGGCCTGCCTTTATGTGGCTAGTGATTCAAGAGCAAATATCATTGTTGTGGATAACCAAAAGCAGTTGGATAAAATTTTGCAGGTAATAAGGTTTTTAGTGTCCTCTTCTCTTTGCCAGCACATATAAATCTTCTCTAATGTTGCCTCCTTTTGTTCACAGATAAAAGATAATCTGCCACATTTGAAAGCCATTGTACAGTATTCTGGATCTTTGCAGAAGAAATTGCCCAATCTCTATTCAGTGAGTCCAGTGATTCAATCTGCACATGCATATGTACTGACTATCTGGTGCTGATAGCTAAAAGTAACTGTGTTTTTGGGCAGTGGGAGGAGTTTATGGGTCTTGGCCTGGACATTCCTGACAAAACACTTGATGATATCATCAGCAGCCAAAAAGCCAACCAGTGCTGTGTGCTGATCTACACATCTGGAACCACCGGCATCCCGAAAGGAGTTATGCTCAGCCATGACAACGTAGGTGTGCTGGGATGCTCATGGATGCTCCACTTGAGAAAGCAACCATGACTGTGTATTAGTGCGCTATTCTGTGGGTTTTCTCCATTTGATCATTACTCCTTATAGAATGCAGATCTGATGCATATCTGTTCTTGTGTGTTGCAGAGTGTGTTTATTTGGTAGAATTATTCACATAAATTATCTTTTTGAAATAAGGTTACTCATAGTGCATAGCCATTATCTAAACTCTATCTGTGTCTGGAAAACCATCCCCAAAGTCTCTTAAAAAACACATGATGCAGGAGCCAAGACTTACTTCGATTAATATAGTTTTGCGCGTTAGATGTTAAGTGTTATATCACTCATGTATTTTTGCAGATAAGCAAAGCTTTTGTTTTGTGCACTTTGGTAGATCACATGGACGGCTCATCATGCAAGCAGGGCTGGAGACATGCAGCCTGCTGAAATAAAACAGGAATCCATAGTGAGCTACTTACCACTCAGCCATATTGCGGCTCAAATCTATGATCTGTGGACAGGGATCCAATGGGGGGAACTGGTGTACTTTGCCCAGCCTGATGCCCTGAAGGTACAGGACAGAGAATTATCTTCTTCTTTATTGAAAGGGGCTGACTTAATAATAATCTCTGGAAATTTTTGTATGGTGTGATTCTGTTCCAGGGGAGTTTGGTGGCCACTCTGAGAGAGGCTACTCCTTCGTCCCACATGGGAGTTCCTCGTGTGTGGGAAAAAATAATGGAGAAAGTAAAGCAGGAAATCTCACGCTGTGCGTACCTGAAAAGGAAACTGGTGACTTGGGCAATATCTGTTGGTTTGGAGGCTAATCAAAAATGCACAAAGTAAGATGATTGCTCATGTAATTTCACAGATCCTATTAGTTACTCTTGTTTGTTATCAGCTGCCATTAAGATTAGTTTTTATTTGTACATTTTTGGCACAGGGATGAGGAGAAGTCATTTCTCTTCACTCTAGCAAATTCCCTGGTCCTAGAGAAACTTCGTGCCGAACTGGGCTTCTCTTGCTGCCAGAAGTTCTTCTCTGGGGCAGCTCCTCTCGGAAGTGATACAGTCCAGTTCTTCCTTGGTCTCAACATTCGGTTATATGAGGCCTATGGGATGAGTGAGAGCACCGGACCCCACTTTATGTCTGGCCCAAAAACTTACAAGCTGTCAACGTAAGTCTCACTGGGTTGGTGTGAAATTGATGCATTTTCTTCTAGTCCAGAGATGACCAAACTCTTTTCAAAGGGGGACAGAATGGACCCTATCAGAATACCTGATGACTGGTCATTTTTTTTGCCAAAATGTTATTTAAAAATTATTTAAATATTCTGTATTTAAAGTATGAAAAACACAAACCTATAGAAAAATAATATGTATTGTACAAACTACTGAATTTGTTCTCATAAAAAGCTGCATAACATTTGTTATGGCTCTCAGTGATGAAACATTCCATCACTCTTGAAATTGCTGGGTGTCACGGTCAGCTGAACTGTTTGTGTGTAATCACGACTAAATGTAATTCACTAAATAAATCTGCAGGTTAATTGTGAATTAATTGTAGGTTTACAGTACTGCTGCCACCATCATATGAAAGAAACAACTGCAACTTATAGTCTGGAGGGCTGGTTAAAATCAATCCATGGGCCACATTTGGCCCTGGGGCCAGACTTTGGACCTAGTCAGATCTGACTTGGTAGTTCACCACTCTAAATTTATTGTTGTAAGCACTATTTACAGAGTGAATTTAATCTCAACATTTAACTTCTAGTTGTGGCAAAGTGGTTCCTGGCTGCAGGTACAAACTAGCCAACACAGACGCGGATGGCAGTGGGGAGGTCTGCCTCTGGGGCCGTGATGTCTTTATGGGGTATCTCAATATGGAGGACAAGACAGTGGAAGCCTTTGATGAGGATGGCTGGCTACGTTCTGGAGATTTGGGCAAAGCAGATGAGGAAGGTTTCCTTTACATCACTGGAAGGATAAAGGGTAAATAAATTATAGACCTTTATTTAATTAATATGTGAAAATATGAAGTAGTTATTATTTTGCTTATGCTGCAGTTATGTTAATTATTATCTCATACATTCTTAAAGCAAAGCCACTGTACATGCCTCTCTTTATTTAGAGTTAATAATCACTGCTGGTGGAGAGAATGTCCCTCCAATTCCCATAGAGGATGCAGTGAAAAGGGAGCTTCCTATTATCAGCAATGCCATGTTGATTGGGGACAAGAGGAAGTTTCTGTCCGTGCTGCTCACACTAAAGGTAATTTTGTAATGAGAAATCTGTAATGTCTGAACACCAACCAATTATGAAAATAAGCCTAAACTCTAGATGAAGCTCGCTTTTGCTTTTGCCCTGTCTTGATCAGTGTGTCACCAATATTGAAACCATGGAGCCCACTGATGATCTTAGCTCAGAAGCTGTGGAATACTGTCAACAGCTTGGTAGCCAGGCAACAAAAGTTTCAGATATAACTGGAGGAAAAGACAAGGTGGTGAATGAGGCTATTCAGGAAGGCATTGCTCGGGTCAATGCCCAGGCCATCTCCAATGCCCAGCGCATTCAGAAATGGACAATCTTAAAGAAAGACTTTTCAGTGCCTGGAGGAGAGCTTGGTGAGTATTGTCTTTAAATTGGATAGTAGATTGGCCTGTTTAGAAATAGCCCTAATGGCGTATTTTGTCCCATTTTAGGTCCAACAATGAAACTGCGACGACCAGTTGTCCTAAAGAAGTACAATGATGAAATAGAAACTTTCTATAGAGAATAAAACATAGTCACAGCTTACTACAAACTAGAAGCAACTACTGGTTTTAACAAACCTAACAAAAATAGCACTTAAAACTATATACCAGTAATACTAAGTGCCATTAACTTCAAAAAGCCAGAAATTTGTTTGTTAGATGTACCTTCATTATGTGGAATATTCCTGTTTTATTTTGTGCATCCCTATGAGATTTATTAATGCATATTCCAAGATACATTAACATCTGAATGAGAACAAATAATCCTGGGTTGGGCACAGGAACAGCTGTTTAAATCCTAGTAAATCATGGGTAAATCACGGTGAGCTTGCTGGATGATTCATAAACCCTTTCATGTACTGAAAACATTCACTTGAGATCATTATTTAATATTACCTAACAATTCAATATACCATTTATCACTCTTTATACTTAGAAAGTAAAAATCAACAAATGTTTACATTGAAAATATCAGTAACTTTAATGTTTTTCATCTTTTAAACTGAACAAGATTATGCCTGCTATTAACTGAATGACAAAGTTGTAAAGTTATGATAAAATATACTGGACCAGAGAATATTTCCAGTCAATAAATAAGAGATATCTTAGGCTATGCAATTACCTTTTGACAGAAAAAGCCTCACATGAATACAACAAGACAAGAATTTAAAGATGTTTGTGTTTTGGAGGAGTAAAAATAAACATTCAACAAGTCAACCCTTTGAGACATTTTGTTTTCATAGACACATTTACATTTATAGTATACTTGTGCGCAGATATTAGAATGGTAAGAAGTTGAAAACAACTTTTTGTGTGTTTGGGCAGGAACCCAAACACAGACAAATGTTGACATTGAGTGCTAGTTCTCAGTCCAGATCCTGTACTCGTCGACAGATCTCAGCTGTGAACTCTGAACACTTGGAATTTCCACCGAGGTCTTTGGTCAAGACCTAGAATAATGAAGAACATAAACACTGACATGAGGTAGCAGCAGAGCACAAAATAAAATTAGAAACATTTAGTTGGCATTAAAACTTTTTAAATGGGAAATTCCTCTTATTTTTGCCATCATAAATTCAGAAACCATCACACTAATGGCTAATGCATTATAATCTTTTAGACGATTATACACCATACCTTCTTGTCTCTGATAGTGTCGAAGCAGGCAGTCTCGATCTTTTTGGCATGTCCATGCAGTCCCATGTGCCGCAGCATCATAACAGCACTCAGCAGCAGGGCAGTAGGGTTAGCTAGGTCCATACCAGCAATGTCAGGAGCAGTTCCATGTACCTATGAAAGAGACATTATTCATATTAGATTATTAAAACAATACAGCTGTGTAAGATAATAGACCATATAAGAAGATGGGAACAGATCATTTTCTAAAGTGGATATGTTTTTAGTTGCTATTGAGAGAAAAGAGTCCCTTACATACCGATTCAAATATGGCAACACCATTGGCTCCAATGTTACCACTAGGAGTCACTCCAAGCCCGCCAATTAGACCAGCACAAAGATCACTGCAACAAAAGCATCTGGTGTCAGCATACCACTAAAAAGACCAGTAAATTCAGCACTCTACAGATACCAGAGGATCACTTCAATTGCCATGATGCAAGTTTTGACTAAGAGTTTTAAGAGTTTAAGAGAGTAATTATACATAACATAACAGACAAGTAATTCCTGAACTCACCTCAAAATATCACCATAAAGGTTGGGCATGACAAGCACATCAAACTGAGTGGGATCCTGCACCATCTGAAAAAGCAGATATATGCAATTAGACAAAGTAAAGCTGCAACTACACTGAACCAGTTCCACATAATCATCAAAAGTAGGTAAAATGATTTCACTTCAGTCAGCTATGCACTATACACTTTCAAACACCATCATTTTACTGTAGGTTTACTTTTGATGGATAGCACAAGTATAGCCAATGCAAATACACACAAAGCAAAAAATAATGCTTTTAATGAACTGTAACACCAATTTAGCATCTTCCAAAGTGGAAGCTAGAGGTAAAGAAATCAAAACTATATTTTTTAAGTTTTATTCTGCCTAATGTGAAGCCAAGAATGCACACGTCTTAAAGTAGACAAACAACATCCATTTCTTGACGCTAATCAATCATGTTTTTAGTATCAATAGCAATGTTTATTTCAATTGATCATGCATAATTATTTCAAGTTAAAGAAATGATACTCGCATTCAGACACACTGTATCCAGGTACATCTCAGTGAATTTCACATCCTTGTAATTCTCTGCTACCTCTCGGCACTTCCTTAGGAACAGGCCATCGGACATGCGCCTGTAGGACAGACAATGAGTGACCAAAATACAACATGGCAAATGAGCTTTTAGAACTCCTGCTCCTTTAATAGCAGCCTAGGTACATTAAGCTTACAAAGGGCAGTCTGATCATCCCTGATCATTATCAGCACTGCAGTGACACTGATGTGGTGGTGCGTTAGCGTGTGTCTTGCTGGCAACAGAGGATCGGATACAGCAGTGCTGCTGGAGTTTTTGTGTCTCTATCAAACTTACTGTCCACTCTATTAGACACTGAAAACCTTGTTGGTCCACCTTGTAAAGAGACAGTAGCTCATCTTTTGCTGCACAGTTTGTGTTAGTCATCCTCTAGTCCTTCATCAGTGGACACAGCATGCTGTCCACAGGATATTTTTGGGTGGTGGACTATTCTCAGTCCAGCAGTGACACTGAAGTGTTTAAAAACTCCAGTAGCACTGCTGTTTTAGATCCACTCATACCAGCACAACATACACCAACATGCCGCCACCACATTAGTGTCACTGCACAGTATGACACCCAGTAATTCACTTTTATGCAATTCACAAGACTAACTAAGTTCTGAATTTGGTACATTAGGCCTGTATGTTGGACAAATAATTTATTAGGAAGTACTTTACAAAATTCCGGTAGTAAATCCAATTTGATTTTTATTGTTTAACACTTGTTCTGTTTTAACAAAAATGAATTATATACAAAAGGCATTACTAGAACAATGCTGTTAGAGGATACTGTGTGTTTTTTATGATTCATGTTTGCATCAAAGTTAACACACTGAAAGTTGCATTAATGTAATTTTTCAACACACTCATTTAAAAGAGATTGTTGCAAATTTTTGAAAATGTGAATCAATGGTGTGCCTTCACCGACACAAACAGTCTAAATATGACTTACATGATATTGGCCTTGTGAACAGCTGTTACACTGTTTCTTTGGTTATTCCTGGCATACTCAAAGGCATACTCAGCAATGCGCCGACTGGCCTCTTCTGTGATCAACTTGATACTCTGCACGACCCCATCAACAATCTGAGACAAACATGAAAATAAAGCACAAAAGGTATTGAGATGACTAGTCACATAATATAGCCATCACAACCAATTCCTGATTAAAATGTACTCTTCTAGATGTTTCAAGACATTGTTTTGCTTTCCATAAGTAGGACATGTAGGGAGTGATGACTGCTCCACTCTGACTGAATCATAATTAAAGACTCAAATTTAGAACACTCAGTTTTATGAGCCAGTCAGTGTACAGCTCTATACACAAGGACACACTCTGCTTAATACAAACAGAGAGAGGAGAGGATGGATGCAAGGTGATGAACAGAGGAACTATAACATAAGACCTGACCGACATACAATGGAGCGAGACACAGAATACATCTGATATAAAACTGGTGTTCTGGACCTACCTAGAGAAAAAACACTGAAAAACAAGTTTCAGTGTGTGCCCACTGAAATCCTGCTAGCACTGTGAGGAAAACTGGTCAAGAAAATATTAGATTGAGACAACAAGTGAAAGAGTGGGGTATAATAGGGCAAACTTTAACCTTTGTGCTCTAAAGTGAACTGGTTACTAGACAGGGGCTGGTTACTACACAAGAGGCTCTACTGAAGCACAAAACAGCATTGTGCTGTGTATTAGTGCCCATACAAGGAGAAATTTGGAGCAGCTGGTACTCCAACAGAGAAACAGAGATCAGCACTACTTCTACCAACTCAACAACAAGCTTTGGTGATGTTAAGAAGCTACAATATTTGAGAGACAAAGGGAGCTATTATGTTAAAAATCAGTATTTACAGACAAATCGACAAATTAAAAGGAAAACCTGAATATATGAATAAGTGAAGAAACATAGCGAGTGAAGATGCTTCCAAGATGTATCGCAATTAACATCCTAGCATGCTTTGTGTTATGCATGAAAATGCTGAGCAGGCTTGATTTTGGATCAAGATTTGGCAAGAGGAATAGATCTAAGTGACTTTGCTGGGATTGACTGCAGGAGCACAAAAATGGCTCAACTGTCAAGTGTTTCAAAAGGAACAGTGACTGAAGTGACAACTGTATTAAGATCTATGGGAAGATCTTAGTAAACAGGTTTGGAAGTTGTGGTTAAGAACGTTCAATGATTGTAGTTTTCATGCATTAGTGCAATACATAAAGAAAAACACCAGAGTAACTGTCCCACAGTGACTGAGAATGTCAATGCAGATGAGATCAGACTGTCATCAAGAACAGTCTGTTCACAACTACATTACACTACATTATTGTGGTGTCATTTATCATACGCACTTGCCTACAGAGATGTGGGAAAAAAGTGAAATGGACAAATGAGTCATCTCTTAGCATATTCTCAACAAATGGACAACTGCATGTGTAGAGTACACCAAGAGAAATATACAGGCCTGAATGCTTGACCCCTAAAGTGGGTCCAGTGGTTTCGTTATGCTATAGGAGACAAATAATACTATGGCCTTCACATTCACCAGATCTCAACCTGATGCAACAACTATGGGAGATTTCAGACTGATGTGTTCACAAAACATGAGACAGTGGTCACCACCATCATCACCAATGCAGGGAATATCTTTTGGAAGAGTGGTGTTCCAACTCTCCAGCACAGTTTCAGAGACTTGCAGAATCTATGCTAAAGTGCACTAAGAGTGTTTTTGCAGCTTTTGGTGGCCCAACAACTTACTAAGGCTCTTTGTGTTTGTTTTTCCTTTAATCTGTCACCTATCTGTACACACACACACACACACACACAGTGCAAAAGTCTCAGTGTTAAGCAGCCATTAAAACGGTTTAAAGTATTTATCTTATCCTGTAAAGCACTATACAACATTATAATAAACACAAAAACCAATAAGAGTACAAAACTAACAACATTTCTTAGAAAATGTTTTCAAATGTTGCGGTATTACTGGGGGCTGGGGCTGTCGCAAGAGACAAAAGCATTTATGACCTTCTATTGCTGTCTCGTCTCATTTCAAAACTGGAAAAAATTCAAAAACAGCAGTTACTTACAGTTTCATCAACAGGTTACACAATTTTCAAGGTGTGCATCGAATTGCTAAATGTTATGCAGGGTTTCAAACAAGTACAGAGGATCGGCTAACTTAGCTTAGCAAGTGGGCTACGGACTCAAACTGTACAACACACCACAGTACACATTTGATTCTGACTAACTGGTGCTCTACTGAAACAAGTGCAGATAATAAAAACTAACGACTGACAGGGCACAGTCAAGTGGCTGGTGCTGCAGTGACAAAGCCAAAGCTGAACCTGTTCTGTGCTGTTTGGGACTGTAGCATTTTGGCCAAGCTAATGAGTTGACTAGACAAGTACACCAAATGGAACAGGCTTGGTTCCAGCTAAAATGGGTCGAGATGCTACAATACCTGTTCAGAGGATATGTGAGGAAAAAATAATCACAATGCATTTTTTATTTGCTTTTACTGTAATGTGTTTTTGCTTACCGGCCAGATTCATGACTTTAAATTTTCTCAGATATCCTGAGGCTTTTGCATAGTACTTTATATTGCATGTATGGATGGATGGATTTGATGCAAAAGTAAAATCTGTGACGTTAATGTTGAGGGCACAAACATTCATAATTACATACCACGTGTTCGATTCCACTGTACTCTCCCTCAGTGTTTTCTCTGATGGTAACGAGGTCCACATCTGTGTAAGGGGTCTTATAACCCTCAATAGACACACATGGACGCACATTGGCATACAGGTCAAAGGTCTTCCTAAGCAGCAAGTTCATGGAGGGATGGCCAGCAGCAATAGGGGTCTTCAGAGGTCCTAAACATTAACAATCAAGTTATGAACAATAATGTAAACTGTAATATGGAACCAAATGAATCAATGTATAAGAAAGTGAGCTGATGTACCCTTTAATCCTATTTTGCTTTTGTCCATTGATTCTTTGGCTTCAGGAGGGATCATCCATTTTCCTCCAGGTCCTTTGATGGCTGTAACATTTCGCTCCTCCCACTGAATAGGAACCTGCAGATGAAAGCAGTGGCCTTTTGCTGATAAAGTGTCACATGCTGCAGCATATACAAAGGAAGTCAATTACTAACACCATGTTCTCTTGAAAAATTAGGAAGTAGTCTTGCTTAATGCATGTATTCCATATTACATGTAGAAACAGGCAAACATTTCAGAGATGGTAGAAAACAGTTGAGGAAAAACACAGGATGAAATACAAAGACGTTTCTTTTCAAGCTCTTACTTTGGCAGCCTCAAAAATCTTTATTACAGCAGTGGAAATCTCTGGACCAATTCCATCTCCTGGAATTATTGTTACAGTTTGCATCTGAAAAGCAAAACAAATACAATAAAAGATTATCTGGCTTAAGCATTTATAAACAAGAAGCATCATCTCTTCTTGAGTTTATCAGTGTTCAACAAAGATTAAAGCTCTCTCTCAAGCATAAAATGCTGTAATTCAAATCGGATACATGTGTGTTTGTGATAACACTGCTCCCTATTTCAATCACAGCATATACTCAAATAGAAATAAACACATACTTCTAATAAATCAAGTGACTTACAGTTGGTCATGTAAGACCAGTAAAAAGCACAACCTTGACACAGCATAATGAAGTCTCTCATGGACTTCATTATGCTGTATAACATTTTGGTTTGTCTGTGGTGGGCAGAAGGCCAAAAATATGTGAAATGTATTTAAGAAATGAATGAATATAAAAGCAGACTGCTCTCAGGATAGGAATTACCTAAAGCTGTACCCATGACAACACTCAACAACTCAAACATTTCTTTTGATGCAGTGTGACTTTGGGGCTTGTTTATCACAGTGGTGATTTAAAAACTGGTTGAAAAAAACAATGGAAATTCCAGGGCAAATTTGATATCTCTCTCAATTACCTCAAAAAGCATTTCAAAATCATAATGAAACAACTATTCAATACTGGAAACATGCTCAGTTTCCAAAATATGAGCTTATATCAATGTGAATTTAGCATTTAAAAATACCTATTATTAAGGTGCTGTAGAAAATAATTTTATTTACTTACTCCTCTAGAAAACGTTCTAGGCTGTGTTTGGCTTTTCACAGCGCCCATGACACGGGAAACCTGGAAAAAGAAACAGAACAAAAAGGTAAACATGACTTTGGCACAAAAACAAGACTAAAGCTATGCAACAACAGTAACAAATAAGGACACAAGCTTCAGATGTGACAGATACTTACACTGTAACATTTCAACTTATAATACTGTGATAGGAAATGTCTTACAGTACATAAAGCAAAAAAAAATTTCATCAGGGCAAGACCAGTGCATGCCTAGGCAAGCCTGTAATTAACTGAAATTGTGAGGATACACCTCACCGCGCTCATGCAGTTTGACTGCAGCCTTTGTCAAGAGAAACACTCGTGTCACCTGTTGAAATGCAGAATATTGCTGACTTCACTAATAAACACATCGCAGGCTATTGTTTCTGTTTGTATTGCCCACTGACTAGTATTACTGGTTTGTCACACACACACACACACACACACACACACACACACACACACACACACATTATATATAAGTTACCACTTGAGCATCACAGCCTATTATCAACAAAGATTAGGACTGCAATTCTCCTTATCACATCTATCCTCGAGCTGAAGGAACACTATCTGTGAGGACGGCCTAAACATAAGGTTTTAAGCAGTGATATAGTCCATAAAGAGCCTCCTTAAAGTAGCTATTGGAAAAAGATAAGCACTGACACACCCTGGCACGCATAGGTAAAACCCAGCTGTGGGGGAGGGGATTCCTGATGACCCTAGCAAACAGCTAATAGCAAAACACTGGACTGAAATATCTTTTTATATTTCATACCAAGGGCTTGTCTCACAAAGCAAGTTCAGCCTAGACAGGGTTTCTGACTAAGTCTCAGCTTTATGATGTTTATGACAAATAGTCATTTGCGAGAAACACGAGTCGTCGTCTTCTCAAAAAAGGAAGAAGACATTTGCATATGTTGAAAGTAAAACACTTGTAACAGAAAAAGCCACACTGTCTCCACTGCCACTGTGTTAGTGCTTACTGGAGTCATTCCTTTTTATTCTTAATATTAATGTAGTATAATTTGCTTCCTCTGCTAAAACAAAAATGATGTTCTTCAAATAATTGACACCACTTCTGTCAGTCCCTGATTGGTCAGAAGCTCGCCCTGATTGGTCCAAGAGCTGTTTGTGATCGGAAAGCCCTGGAGCAGGTTAAACATGCAGTATAAACTGGCATGGTGATGTAGCCTGATAAAAGTGATCCACCGTTGTGAAACAGAAAAGCTAGAGTCTGATTGAACTAACCTTGAGATTTTGCCAACTAAACAAAAATCCTACTTCGTGAGACAGGCCTCAAGTACAAGTGGTGTGAAGCATGCAGCAGTAAAATGGAAATGGCAGGTAAAATCAGGGATTAATACTATATACTATGACTACTTAAGAATGTTACAGTCAAGGTATCACATCATTTAAATGTTCTGTTAACCACCAGACAACATCAGTCCCTTCATATCAGTAGGATTAATCCCTGGTGTAAAGATATGAGGAGAATAGCTTCAAAGATCCTGGATATGAATGTCAATTTGATGAACATTAACATATAAAGGCATTAGTCCATTATTATAGCATTATTATAAACTTGGCTATTGGTAACACCAAGATCTCTGAACCAAACCCTCAAAATAACAAGCAGATCTGTGAGGGACATTTGCTGGTTTGGCAAACAACCACCAACTTGCATTAACTTGGAAGGAGGGGCGCTTTACGACTGTGAAGGCGAAGGATACTGAGGCTAAAGGGTATGATTATAGCAATCACTTTGACTTTTGAAATCAATGAAAGCTGCCTTAATGGGCCATCATTTTAAAAAAAAAAATCATTATTGTATTTAGGGGTATGTAATCCCACAGGACAGTTACTTCAAAGAATAGCCTTTGTGCTCAAATAAAATACTAGGCAAATGAATCTACACACCATGAATGATTGCCTTTTTTTCATTATCAGTAATCAACTTTGCCTCATGTAGGTGCAGCCAGGACTGGAACCATTTTTGATCTTATCCTGTCTCCCTGAACAGGGTGTTTGACACTAATTTTCAAGTCACTTAATTGAACAATTCAAATGTAACACACTGGTTTTGCAAATTAAGCTACAATCTGACCACCAAATGCCCACTTTCAGATTTGCCTTTCGCAGTATATACAGGTTTGTGGGGCAGCTTGCTCACCACATAATTATAGGGGTAACTTTAGCTCAGCAGCACAAAGCCATCTTCTCTAGCTAGGGCACTAATTAAAGATCTTACTTCTTTGGGTTTTCTCTGGCCACTTATCCACACACCATATCTCTCGAGAAGTTTACAAATCTGCAAAAAGCAGACAGGTAGAAGTGGGCAGTATAATGACGTGTTATCGTTATCATGAAAATACAGTTTTTCCAAAATACAGATACAGACTTGGACCAATTATAGAGAGCCTTTGAACAACAACGGTGTACAGCAAGTGCATAAACTGCACAGTAACACGTAGCTGATATAACGTCAGCCGTTTTTTACCATTAACTTTATTTAATATTTCCTTCTTAAATAGGTTATTTTCGCTTTTTTTGCGATCACTGAATTACAAAAAAAATACACTGTACTAATAGCTTATCATAACATTTGTATAAGTTTGGCTTCACTGTTTTGTGTGTTCTAACTTGTTCACTATCCTCATAAAAAATAAGTAAATATTGAGATGCATTTTCCGCCACTAACGTTATCGCGATGTTACATTTTAGTCATGACCATGTAACCTAACTCTCAGTGCATTAGCCAAATGCTACAGGGAGCTGAAGGTTATTTTCTCTAAGCTACAAGGTGCAGTTACAGGTCGTGAGCTGAAAATGGGAACTCAGTTAGTAAACTGACTGCAGGGAACGTTTTCACCAGTTAGCTTCTTGGCTAATCCAGCCGGTATGTGACAAGAGCAGGCATGTTCAGCAGCAGGCATGCTAAGATAGCTAACTTTCAGCTAGCTGTCTCGCTAACTAGATAACCTACGTACCAGAGCAGTAAGACTCCTAACAGCTCTTAAGGGACTTAACTTTAGTCGTTTCATCGCATGTTAAGGTTAAATGTGCTAGACTGAATTCAGCAGAGGCCATCCTGTGAGTGAAGGATGATAAAGGCTGTAATCAGTGTATGGCAGAGTATGAAGGGCATATAGAGACAGCAGAGAGAGAGAGAGGGCCTCCGAGCCTCAAAGCCTGCCTCCGCATGCCAAAAAGTTTGAAACCATGCCAGCTATCACACCCTTATCAAAGTGTCTGATTTGGCTGGATGGAGAGCCTTGTAATTAGCACTGATTTACACTTCTAAACTGTCCTGTCAGTCACTCCTTACCGTTGACCTCCACGCGTTACCAGCCATCCTCTCTGCTCGTCCCGCTTCAGACGTCTCAGCTCTACACTGCTGTCCAGCGCGTTCAACCTTCGCTTCACCATGTAGAGTCTCACAGGGTTGCCAAGTCACACACCAATAAACCTTCAAGCATGCAAAATTGATCAACATGTTCTCCAGACTGATTAAAAATATAATTGCATACATTGCATATTTTTATTTAGTATTGAAAATATCTACACATCCCTACAAAGCCCTGCTCTTGATTTGTACCGACAATGTCCTGTAAAGTATTTACTGATTGCCTGTTTACTTGCTTATTTTTGCAACAATCTTAATATTCAATCCTCAATATTTTAAATTAAGCCTAGAATTTACTACAATCACTCTAACAATGCTTCACTAGCCTACATGGTGTTTATAGGAAACTGCTATAAGATTTTATCATTGAATTACACTGTGAAACCTTAGACCACTGTGTGTCAGGCTCCAGTCCTCGCAGGCCAAAATACTGCAGACTTTAGCACGCTGCTTCATTAAGTACACCTCATTCACCTCATCAACTAATTAGCAAGGACTTCATGAACTGAATTCATGAGAGTAAACGCTAATCTCTGCAGTACTTTAACCTGGAAGGTCTCCACTTTGACATGCATGTCTTAGCCTGTTATACCTAGGATATAAATTCAAAACAGTTCTGGAGACCCAAATCCATAACATTTTTATTTTTTAAAATCACATTCAGTTTTCGACCATCAGAATTAAAACTCTGCTGTGTGCTGTCATAGTCTGTAAATAGTTATCTTGCTTCAGGTAAGAATTTTAAAAGTTTCAGTGGTAGGGTTACACTTGTTTTGCACAAAATCAATTTAATTAACTATCCACTAAGGAGAATCAGGTGCATTGGAGCAGAGAGAAGATTGGTGCAGCTGTACTCTGTGCCTGAATTCAGAGATCTATATGTTCTTAAACCTGTTGTGAGAGCCAATAATTACATTTTAACACCAAGTAAAAACAACTGATTTACATACTTGCTTTTAAATATCATTCATCTAAGAGAGTAGTTTGTGTACTGAAAAAAACAGTCTACAAATCTTCTTGAGTATGCAGTGTACTGCATTCATACTTAGTTTGTGCAAACAAAATGAACGAACAAATAAAATGTTAGGTGCACTTTTCAAGACATTTTAGCATATATAAAAAATGTTTTGAGATGCTAGAAGATATGCTGATGGATAAATGTGCGCTTGCTAAATTTGATTTTACTAAAATCTACACAGGGAGGAGTTCTCATTAAACTGGCAACCCTATGAACCACCAGCTCCTAGTACAGAAAGGAAGCAGAGAGACAACAGGGCTTCTAGTAACAGCTTTGCAAAGCTTGCTTCCCCTACTGGACTGGATGTAGCAGTGCAACATTGAACTGTTCTGTATGAATTTAAAGAATTCATTCCATAGCACTGTCTACCACCTTATACATAAAATAAAATTTGGCTAAAATTATTACAATAAAAAAAAGGTTTAAAAAAATAACACGTAAAAATTTACAAGGACAGAGAAGGCTTTTTAGCCTTTTAAAGAACAGAAGTAGTACCAAAAAAATGCCACAAGATGGCCACCCAATATTGGAAATGAACTATTCAGCCTTCACTCAGTTTACTCAGGGTGGAAAAAGACAGATCTGGAATAAAAGGAAAATGTAATCCCTTCATAATAAATGTAGGAAAGGCAGATTACACAGGACAAAGAAACACTATACTATTAAGTGTGCTTTATCCATTTAAATGCAAGTTTACAAAGCATGGGGCAATTCAGCGTCAGGAGTGATAAAAATCTATAAATACAATTGAAGCAAAAAGTAAAAAAGCAAAACACAATGCAAAAATACACTGAGGTTACAAAACCAATACGCATTCATATAAAGCATACGATATAAAGTCCAAAACATCTCCCAAAACACTGCAATCAAAAATGCAACATGGGAAAGCTTCAACGATGGTCAATAAAGAAAAAGCATTAGAAGTACTTCACAAACACACTTTTTGTCCAAATAGCAGCATTGTTTAAAGCAATAACAGTTTGTATAGTTTAGTGTTACAAAGTCCAAAGAAGACTCATTTTGAGCATCCTGAGACGACAGAATGAAGACAGGTTTCTACATGTAGGGTCCTTTCTAGGGTGGAGAATAAGAAAGGACAGAGGTGTAGTTACTGTAGCTTAACCCTCACACTACAGGCAACATTGAGTATTCAGGAGTTCTGGCACTGGTGATGTATCAAGCATATGGATCTTAAAAAACACACATACACAGAAAGAGCTGTGTTGTAGCAATTGCGTTAAAAAACAGAAAAACATAATAATAACAACATATTCATTGCAGCTGGGTTGCTGATTTCAAACAGCATACTGCTTTGGTTGGTTCTTGAGGCCAACAGTCCTCTCCGTTTGCGAGATTGCATGAGCTGCTCTGCTGTTCAGCAGCCTGCATTCATGAAGAACATCTGTCAAACAACAAGGTGATTTTACAACATTAAGTGAAAGAATTAGCCTTTATCAGACCTTTAATTTTGTGTGTGTCAGTACCATCTTAACAAGAAACTGAGTAGAAAAAACAGATTACCATTAAACTGTTTGTAGGCTTCATCAACAATGGCATTATTTGATCTTTTTATCTCCCAAAAACCATCTTCCACCCATGGCTTACAGTCAGGTATTTCTGGCAGTTGACCATTTTTATACATGCCTGCTGCAACAAATTAAGATGTAAATCCAGTCCATTTCATTTCAACGTTGTGCACTTGTATGTCAGAAAACAGTACAGGCACAGCAGAAAATTTAACAAACATTGTTTTTTATATCAGTTCAATGCGAGAAAACCAATCATAGTAACGCACTTAATTTACATGTTTTAAACGTAGCATATAAGACTAGACAGCTAGAAGTACCTTTTATTGTGTCGTCAATGTCTTTGCATAGTTGGTATAGATCACTTCCGCGTCCAACCACCCTTTCCCCTAAAGAAACGCATTTAAAAGAACATTTGTAAACTCCTATCTGCTTCATTGTCCAGAATCAGTTGCTTTTATTGTAGGTTGAAATGCAAAATAAGGCACTTACCATCTAACACCTTAATGCTTGGGAACATTTCAAGGATGATGTTTCTGTATGAGGCGTTCTTGCAAACTGAAAGATTAAAACATGAGCTAAATAAACCGATTCACAAAGTAAATTCAAAACACAGCCAACCAACCTGGATTAGTATAATTGTATGTGTTGTCCTTTAGCCTAATACTCTCTAATTTTCTTAAAGTCTTCAGAGCATGGAGGTTGTCAGTGCTGTAGATTTGACACAAAGCAAGGACACATTTATGCACAGAGAAGAAGAGAAATAGAGACAAAATCTAAAAATCCAAAATCCAGAAATCTAGATGCACACTTTTGTTTTGTAATTACCTGGATATAAGATTGCCAGCTATGTTGAGACTCTGTAAGCTTTCACAGCTAGCAATAGGTTCTATAAAAGGATATGTTTCATGATAATAAATACAAAAATCAGTTTATCATAATTTCTTTCTTTGTACATCATTATAGTATCAACAACAATACCTACTTGAAAATACTCGTACAATTCACTTACCTAGGTTAGAAATCCTGTTAGCTGACAGGTTAAGGACAACAAGAAGTCTGAGTGATGCTAGAGGCGCTATGTTTGTGATATTATTTCCAGAGAGGTCCAGTCTCTCCAGGTTTATACATTCTCCAATACATCCAAGATCATAAATTCCTAAAAAATAAAAGAAAAAGAAAACATACATACGTGTTGTAACTCTGATACAGAGACTTCAGACTATGCAGTTACTTCAGAATATCCACCACAGAATGATGCATACCTAGACTCTTCAGTTTGAGAAATAAAATGGATTCCAAATCAAATTCCCCTGTTCGGGACTTTAGAAGCCCAGTTGTGATCTTTGCGCATTCGGTTTCTGCAAGACAGAGAAAGTATGCATGACTATAGTGAGTGTGGTGAAGCAAAAACCTGCCTGTTCACTTGTTCACAACCTAATAACATGCACTTTGGTGACTCACTGCTGCAGCACAGGCTCAGTTCAGAAGAGAAAGCTTATTTCTCTGTGTTCGTTGTTATTGTGTCCTTTTGATACGTCTCTGCTCTTTATCCTTTAATGCTAGCTTACAACTGCTGATGACGGCTGCTGTTCTTGAAGGGCTGAATTTTACTCACTTTTTTTGAGTAAAAGAGTATGATGTAGTTTGTAAACACTGGTAGAGTTTGAAAATTTACTGTCCATTTCCCAGTCTATAGTGTCTATATATGGAAACTTAGCTGGAAAAAACATCCTGTTTTGAACTGTTTTGTAGTGTCACAAAATATATATCTCAAGTCAAGTCAAGTCAAGTCAAATTTATTTATATAGCGCCTTTTACAACAGATGTTGTCACAAAGCAGCTTTACAAAGAATCCGGGTCCACGCCCCCAGTGAGCAAGCCTTGGCGACAGTGGCAAGGAAAAACTCCCTCAACAGGAGGAAGAAACCTTGAGAGGAACCAGACTCAAACAGGGGAACCCATCCTCCTCTGGTCGGCACCGGATAACAGCACAGACACAAAACAGTACAAGTGGATACAGTTTTACACCACTGTGCAGTGCGCCGGCCGCATCAGTCACGTCATATCTGCCTATTCGACAGCATTTTAGCCCTGCCTGCTCACACTGAAGCTATGAAGACTGTTTCAGCCCAGACTGCTTCTTTATTAGGCCCCAATAAAGGGCAGCCAATCTTATCAGAGCTCATTCACATACATCAGACTTGAAGGCACAAGGTAAACAGCATGTTTAACTGTAAGGGATGATCAGAAGTTGAAAGATGGTTGAATGAATTATGACTGTTTTGGTACATAAATCCACTCAAATGTCATTAGTGGACTTGGTGAACAAATAAAATACAAGAAAAATGTAGGACATGGGTCATTTAAATATTAATATTTGGTAGTGAGTGCAGGGCCTGGGAGAGCTCCTGGAAAACAGCCTGCTCTTTTTTGTTGTTGTTCCCTCTTTTTCTGGATTTATTTTATCTGACTTCAGATGTTTCAAAGTATGTATACAACAGGGCAGATTTAGAAACTGAGGCGTAATCATGCCTACCTAGATTAAATTAAATTTAGACATTACTTTGATCAAGCTTAATGTAACTTGACACCGCATGGGGGAAACGCCAGATGAGAGGAGCACTGTGCCGTGCAGCACACAAGCTATTGTACAAGATAGAATGAGAGCTCTAAGGCATTGCACGGCAAACAATTGTGGGTAAACAACAGTTGGTAAACAACAGTTGGTTTCCGCGAGAAAGCCCGCAGCAGCACAGGCCTTAACATTAAACATTAAACCAAAACCGCGGAAAGAGAAAGCAACAAGCTGACGCTGAACTAAAGCTGTGCTTAAAGGGGACACTGAAAGAGACACTGTTTATTAACATGAGATTCTGTATAGTAAACAAAATTTAAATAAAAAAAACAGTATTAACCACCCAGACGACCCCGTTAGTAACGAATGAAGTGGACACGAGCGTCATAGCGAATGGACAGCTAACAGCTACTGCCCTACAAAAAAAGACCCGAGCTAACACCTCAGCTAGCGTGAGCCGCAGCATCTTCTCACAACGCACGAATTCGTCAGACCTGTAGGTTAAACAACTCACCGTGGTCTTTATCCCTCTTAGACTCCATATCTGTCCAAATTTAAGAAGTCATTCGAAGTACATGAGGATGTTCTCCGTGAAGTCCGGCGGAAGGTTCTCGTACTGTCATCTGACAAAGAGACAGAGGAGACTCGGCGCTGCAGCAGCAGCAGTGCGCGCAGGTGACCGACCGACTGACTACAGCGCTGCTTTGCTAACTGTATTAGCAGCGCGCCGGACTTACTGGAGTGTTTTGATGTTTTAATACAGACTCTTATTTGCCCAAACGATTTTTGGTGCGACGCGTTTACACATTTCCTTGGATTCACTTAACAAACCAACTAACTACATTAAAGGTACCTACTACTTTAAATTCAGCGCACCCGGAAGTTGCCCTCCTTTCTGTTGCTATGTAGCTGCTCTCATTGGTTACGGCGGTGTTGTCAAGGCCGCTCATCCGATTAACGGCAAGAGATTAATTTTATTTTTTTAATTTCACTTGTTTTTAGACATTTTCAGTGAAGACGCTAAGAGGCTATTATACTATTTGAGAATCAAGTAAAAATATAGTTACTTCAATAGTAACATAGTGACTTAAGTAAAGGTATTTTTATAATAAAATACGTAACGTAGATGTACGAATGTACCAGGTCAAAAAACAGTACTTTGAGTAACTTAGCTTAGCTACAGAACCTGCAGTGGAACTAGGTAGGTTATGTCTGTCATGTTTCAGCCCAGGAACTGGAACTTAGGCTCTCTTTTTTGTTTGAGTTACCAAATGTTGGTGACTGAATTGCAGACGAATAAAAAATAAACTATACTTTCCTCACAAATATGCTTTAAGCAAAAAGTATTATGATTTGACAATACTGAGAAAAGTTGATTTTACATGTTATTCGGCTACAATTCAGTCATTTGGTTACTCATTTCTTTTTTGTGTTTAATTTCTTTATGTTCTTTAATTCATTAATTAATTTCTTTATTAAGCCGGATAAAAAGTAAATTACATTCCTCACAAATATACTTTAAGCAAAAAGTAATATGATTTAAAAATACTGAGGAAAGTACAAATGTAATCACATTTCATCTTGAGTAGTAATGTAAGTTGTGTTAAAAATAGTACACTTGAGTCCAGATCCTAAAGTAATAACGTTACATTTAGATCCACACGAGCGTTTTGATATTGATCAACGGATGTTATTTGTTTACTTTGTATTTAATGTTACTGAACTGAAAGACTATCAGGTGAACTGTCACATCAGCTCAGGACTGTCAGCGCAACTCTATTTCGACTCCAAGGCGTTAACTGCTTGTATTATCTGACCCTTCTATCTTACACTAATGAGCGGCGCCCCCTAGTGGCACCACCGTGGGAGTGTCTCTCCCTGCAGTTCTTCACTGTCAATGCTAAAGTGGCAGAGCTAGCGGCGGTGATCAGCAGTGGGTGCTGAAACAGGAGTGAGTCCGCGGGCTGTTAGGGCATTGTGCTATTCATGAACCTCTACACTTGCGTAGCGGAGGGAACGTCGATCACGTTGCACTCAAGTATTTATGGAGAGTGTTAATGGAGAGCGTTGTCTACATTACAAACATCCATAAGTAAGTCGGGGCTCTGAAATTCTATGCGTGGTCACAGTTTTCTCGTCTGGCCACACCGTATACATGCCATAAATGCCTAGAAAAGAGAGGAGTCCTCGAACTTCCAATGTGATGCATCTGTACAAGAGGAAAATCACTCGACTAAGATGGGTAATAAGCAAACGATATTTACTGATGAACAGCTAGACGCCTATCAGGTAAGAGATTTTTACACATATTTTCCCATTCCTATTAGTCATTAGGCTTAGTGAAAGCCAGCTGAGAGAACTCTTTACCATCTCAGTAATCAAGGAAAACGGGGAGCAGGTATCTAACAATGGCTGTTCATCTAAATGGCTGTGAGAGTGATGGGTTTTCACAGTTCATGTTACTTTATGAAAGTAACATGAACTGTGAAAACCCATCACTCTCACAGCCATTTAGATGAACAGCCATTGTTAGATACCTGCTCCCTGTTGATGTCTATAATGTCTTTGTGGTTATAGCTGTAGACTCCACTGTACTTGAGAATGGAAAATTGATTGATTCATTTTAATGAATCAAAGGCAGTACTTCAGGACGCACTACTATTGCTTATATTGCTATTCTCTGCAGGGTATGGTTTCTGATCACAAAAATAAGCTTATTTATTGCAAAATTAATCATGTAATGTCAGTGTGATGCAACACCATGAAACTGTCTTTGAAAAATTGCTAAAAAATCAATACAGAATTTCTCTTATCCTGCACAGAAAATATGTTATTAATAGTGGACTTACCAGTATTGGTAAGGCTTTTGCATGAGGCATCTTTTAATTTTTCTGTAAAGCATTCAATATGCCATTCTCAAAAACAAGCTACATGTAGGCTACAAATGAATGTCAAGTAATTTCTAAACATGCAAAGGTCAGGTAATGATAACAAAGCATCAGTTCATCCTGTGGCAAATAATTAAAACGGGGTGGATGTAAAGTCATTCATGACCCAAGAGGATACAGCTCTGTCTTCCTTTCTCAAGGTATTTCTATCAGTTATCACTGTCTGTGACACAAGACACTCCTAGTAGGCTGGCAGAAGCAGACTCTTGGCTCTAAAGAAAAAGAAAGGTTAAACCGAAAACTTTAGAATGTGTGCAGGAAAGCATTGAGAGCAAAATCTCCACTATTAAATTAATATTTACAGTGTTGAAGGAACTCTTACAAAGTAGAATATGCAATTTCAACAATGGGCTGTCTAAAATACATTCTGCAAGCATGTTATTACATCAGCACTTATTGATTAGTCAGCAGTCCATTGTATTCAGAAAGTACACCCACTTTCAGCACCTGTCACTCATTTCTGGTTTAAGCCACACCCACCTTAGGAAAGGCATCAAAATCTAGCCAAATTTTAACCATACCCAGCCATACACTCTTAAAAATATGTTTTTTCAAGGGTTCTTTGGTAAAGAAAATGGTTTTATAAAAAGGGTTCTTCTATTGTTACGATGTGAAGCTTGTAACAATAGAAGAACCCTTTTTGGTGCTATATAGAACCCTTTTCAAAAAGGTTCTATATCAAACCATCTACAGCACATTCTCCATCAGTCTGAAGAACGCTTTCATGATACAAAGAATCTTATAATCATGCAAAGGGTTCTTTGAGTGTTCATAGTTCTATATAGAACCCTTGAAGAACCATCTTTTTAAAGAGTGTAATGTAGTATTCAATTTTTACAGTTATTTTTTGTCCAGCAGGACTTCAGTGAACACTGTAGGCTTTAATGTAACACTATGGTGTTAATTCTGGGGACTTGGCTGTTCAGGCAGGAAGGAAAGAGTTGACAAAGTTATTCATCTTGTGTCTTAAGCATTTTAAACACAGTGCACAATAACATCACCTGTAATGAAAGAAATTCCTAACAAGTTAACTGACACCTTTTTTGTCTCCTGTAACTTTACCCATATCCTAGTTACATATGTGTAGAGTTTTGTTGTGTGTTCTGTTTGGCTCCTTTGTTTTATGTATTAATCAATGCAATAACTGGACTGCAACATATCCTATGGATGGAAATATAGTTTCGCTGAGCAGAGTATGCTTGCCTTTGTGTATTAACATGCAAGAAAGACTTGCTTTTGTCCATTGTAACAATGATCTGTTGTGTTGTGTACTGGAGAAACATCATCTTGGCCTATTGAAGTTTTAAAGCCATTCAGTTAATTATTAATACCAAGCCAATCTGAGAGGAAGCCTTGAAATGCTGTTCTTGTTTTTTTTTTTTTTTCAGTCAGTACAGCCTTTATGGTAATTTCTGTATATATCCACTACTACTGTTCTCATTGTTCTGTTGCTTGAAGGAATAAAACTTTAAACTGGAAAAATCAAGATGATTGGGGAAATATGACACAGTTGCTCTAGTAAATGAGACAGTAACGAAACGTATCCTAAAATGAGGTGTCAAGGACCATGGACCTCTTGAAGCATGTCTTTAAACATCTCAAGCTAATTGTAGGTAGAAAAATGACTAATGTCAACATCTATCTCTTCTGTCCTTCATGGTCTATAATCAACCTCAGCCAGTTCTTGGACTAGTGGTGCTTGACCATTTGTCTGAATAAGGATTACTTTGTCAGTCATACTTCATCAGCCAAGTCTTCCTTAGTTACATAACCACTCTTCAGCATGTCATGAAATTGTTTCTTTTGCTTCTAGTTGGTTACTATTACTGTTGGCATATTTTGCACCTTTTTTTAAATTAATTTTAGTGCTGCTGTCAACATCATGGTAACAATTTAAAGGTCATTTGGATGTTTTGGTTGACTGAGCTGATTGTATTCTTTTATTGTCAGATTACATAATCTGTACAGTTATGTAACTTGCACTATTGAAAAATATTTTATGTTTTACAGACCTATGAAACTCAAAGTGGTATTCAGACCATGCCTGCATGGGAGGATTATGAGAAATGATGCCTTTTACCAAACAGCCATTTTCTGCTCTGAGCATATATTTATTATTGGATATGTGGGCCGTGTTCTGTCTCTGGCAATAATTAAGCACTCTGTCGTCTATCCAGGGTGCTAATAATTCTTAGCTGTGTGGCCGTACCTCACATCACACACATTCAAGGCCTAATATTTCAAATTAATGAGCAATTAACAATATTCAAAGCCTAATGCCCATAAATTCTTAAAGTGCTCCCTCTCCAGCGTCTCCGGTGATTTCAGGGATGTGTTTTCTTTTTTTCCAAGTGTGCAGGCGAAAGCAGGGTAAACATCATAAAGGAGAGATGAATTACTAGCTAATAAAACTGTCCGCTCACGTTGGCACTGCTACATTGTGTGGGTATGAGGTAAGAACGCAACCTCAGGACTGAGGACAGCAGTGCTGTATAGCGTGCAGACAGACGTAGCATGCAGATAGATACAGCCATTCCCCCTGATAATATTGCATGGTCTCATATCACATGTACATGATAGATAGTGGTTCTCAGACGCAGCATCATCGTCTGAGTGAAACATTAAACCTTGCTGTGTCCATAGACAAAATGCCCTGAGGTAACAATGGACTTGTGTGTTCACCTGTGTGCAGTAATGCAATATAGATGCAAAACTCAGCTTAACTACATAGTTAACACAGGTTAGAGATCAGTCAAGGTGTCTATAAAAATACTGTTTCTACAGACAGTATTCAAATATTATAAATTAAATGTTTTCTCTGTCCTTGCAGGACTGCACGTTTTTCACACGCAAGGAAATCCTTCGGTGAGTTGTAAGTCTGGATTTGCATGATGTCACTGTCATTAAAGTGGGTAAAAGTATGAAGAATCTTGCATTTTAGTTAGGTTCTATCTCATGCAAATACATTGTCTACACTTTGAAGAGTTGCTGTAATTTGACAGTAAACATTTGCAATAATGTACTGTTTTATTAATTACAGTATGGTATTGTATGTTGCAATTAATTCTGGGAGTTGCTGTCCATTTTTAACAGTTTACTGTATCCTCAGAATTACCAGAAGTCTCTACAAACTAAAAACATTGTTTCCAATTCTACAACATTAACAAAAATATGCAGTACTTAATTAAAAGAACATTTAATGTGTATGTATAGTTTAAATATATTGGTCAAAATATGAGAGTGAGATACTAACCATGATTTGTAGATTTGTGTGGTTTTGATATTGTGTATATTTACAGTAATAGGTGTGGTCAGTGAATCAGTAGGTTGTTGTGTGTGGTGTTATAGTTGCCTGTAGAGTGTAGTTATATGACATGGAGACATTTAATCAGCAGGTTGATTTTGTGTTTAGTGTTACAGTTAAATGTGTAGGTATAAGAAATGGAGTCAGTGAATCAGTAGGTTGTTGTCCGTAGTGTTATAGTCATATGTGTATTTTTAAGACATTGAGTCATTATATCAGTAAATCACTGTGTGTAGTGTTATAGTTATATGTAGAGTGTAATTATAAGAGTGGAGTCTGTGAATCAGTAGGTTTTTCATGTCTAGTGCAGAGCTGGGCAGTGTGACAGTATGTAACATTATTATGGTAAATTACATCACAGTGTGTCACAGTATGCTTTTCTGACAATATTGTGGATATCATCAGTACTTAAAAATCACTTCCCAACTGCATGTTTCATTAAAAATAGAGTAAAAGTAGTCCTGTTTAATTTGATTTACTGCAGCACAGTGTGTGAAATAGTGTTGTATTGATTGTTTTTATAGTATTTTGATAGTATTTTTAAAATGTGTAGTAAATATTGTGACATGGTGTATTGTGAAAAAAAAAATCTGAAGTGTGGTAATATTACATTTTGCTATATTACCCACGTCTAGTGTTATAGTTAGCTATAGAGTGAAGTTAAGAGCTGAAGTAAGTGAATCAGTAGGTTGGTGTTGTGTTATATTTATCTGTAGAGTGTGGTTAGAAGGGATAAAGTCAGTGAATCAGCAGATTTTTATTGTGGGTAGTGCTATAATTATCTGTAGACTGTAGGTAGAAGAGTTGGAGTGTGATGTGTTATAGTTACCTATAGATTGTAGTTATAAGAGGTGTAGTAGCGAATCAGTAGACGAGTGCTGTGTAATGTTATAGTTGTCTGTGACTTAGTAGGTTGTTATATGTAGTGTAATAGTTGTCATATCTGTAGAGTGTAGTTATGAGAGATGAGAGTCAGTGAATGGGCACATTGTTATTAGTGTTGTTATAGTTGTCTGTAGAGTGTTATAGGTAGTAGCAATGACATTGTGGTAGTTATATGCCTAGTTTACTATAGTTTTACCATATACCATTCAGTTCTGTACTCCTGTACGCCTCTAGTATTGTTTTGCAGAATGTAATGTGTGTTTACAATAGTAATTGTGATATTAAAATTACGCAAAACCTCAATGCAATGCTTACCCAGTAACTGCTGAGAGGAAACAGTCCTAATCATTGATCTTTGCTAGAATTCAGACCACTGATGTTTTGTTATCAGAATCTCCAAGTTAACCTCACTTTGATATTTCAGTACACAATAATGTACGTACATGTTTACCTTCCATAGCCCACAACAATGGATTCCTCCGTTACATTTCTAGCTGCTCTTTGGAGCTGGGCTGATCAAATGGCTACATTGTCAGTTGCTTTGACAAGGATTTACTGTTTAGACCTATTGATCATAACCTAGTGGAAACAGCAATGTGTGCCTACATGCCTGCCACACCTGCTCTGGTTAGGAACAACCCTGTTCTGGTGTTTTGGGGCCTATTCGGGTCTTGTTTCAATTATATTTCCCGATGTTAAATCTTATTGAAATGGTATATTTAGGAAATAGCTTATGCTTTTTATTTATTTGTTCAGATTACCATAGAAATGAAGTGTCTATGAATGTCATGAGTTGAAAGGCTGTTATTACTTATTACTTGCTTCAATTTGGTTGCGGTCTACCGATTTTTCATTAACCTATTTGTATGTCCTGTTACAGAATTACACTTTTCTAACGGGAAAATTAACAGATAAACTACAAAGCCTGAGTGTTGCATGTATTTAGAAATAAACTGAAAGTATTGCCCCATGCAGCATCTAAAAAAAGTCTTCAGGAATGCATTTTGTTCAAGACTGAGAATAACTGTGTCCTAGTAAAGGGGAACAGTGAGATTACATCCTAGCCAGTCACAATTTATATCCAAGTCTTTCTGGTTTTTTTTTGTTTTGTTTTTTTTTATTATTTTTTTTTCTTCCATGTGCTTCTATTAAAATCTTCCCCTGGAGAAGGCCAGGCAGCAATGTGTGTAATTGGCTGAACCACTAACATGATATTGTCTCAGTTACAAGCCATTGTGTCATTGCAAATACACAAACATTCAGCCCTCCCTGTGCCTACAGCTTTTGCTGTGTAGATGCAGTGTTCTTGGCCCAATTGCAGCACTGCTGTTGAGACTCAGCCAGCTCAGCTGTACCGATGGCTTTCTATTTGGATAGGTCCCAGATTTATCAACCAGAACAATGAGATCTAGGGCCCGTAGAACTAATCCTTCACTTCTCTGCCAGGCCCTATTGGGATCTGTGGCTGCTCTCCAGAAGTGGACTTTTGCTGTTGATGGATATCCTTCATGGTGGTGGTGTTATTTTGAAATTCTGCGTTCTGTTGTACTTCATTAGTCACATACAGTTGTTTCACTAGTTTTTCAGTAGTTTTATCATAATTAAAATGAGCTGTAAGCTGTGTTCTGGATTAATTACTGTGGTTATGAGCAAATTCATAAATTAATATAAACTGTATAGTTTACTCCTTGGTGCAGTTCAACATGGTAGTCTCAGCTTGTGAAGTTGCAAATTTTCCAGATGAACATTTATATTTTTCCCATTTGTCTAACATTTATATTAGTAATCAACAGCATGACTGGGAGGTTGAGACAATGAAAGTGTGTTATTTCTCAATTGTTTTATCTGACAGCCCCAAGATTGTGTTGACATGTAACCTTGGATCACTTTCAGTCAATTCCTTAGTTAGTAGTTGACTGCAGTTGGCAGTGCTTACTTACAGTACTTGATTAGTGTTATTTGTTCTCTAGAAGGAGGCAACACAAACTTTAGAGCAATTTTGGTTTCTTGGTTTTATTTTATATTGCTCTTATTGACTTGGCTTTCTTACCTTCCTCTTTCTGTGTCATTTCTGTCAGAGTTATTGACTCAGTTATTTACAGAATCTAGACCTAAACATTCATTAATTATAGCTTATGAGAGTCAAGGCAGAGCTTTCTCACAATATAGCTGTTTCTCTTATAGTTTTTTTGTTTGCTGTATCATCAAAACATGTCAAAAATCTAACATTTATAATTGTGTTGAAACATAAGTCAGTTATCAGTTGACTATGTGGTACCATTTTAGACATGTTTTGAAAACTTTTGAGATGAAGTATGTTAATGACTTTACTTTGGTATATACTTCATATGTTTTTAGAATTAAATTCAGTGCTGTTCTCAGTGGATTTCAGTTTTGGGAATGCACTATACTAGAATGTTGTAGAAAGGCTATGTTTTGGTATTCTGAGAAGAGTGGTTCTGTTTTCCCTGAAACCCTTTAACCTTTGAGTTGGTCTTCTCACCTGGGCACGGATCACTTTGCAGCCCTTTTGACAGACCCGGAACCCAATCTTCTGATTAGGGGCAGGCATCCCAAACCTCCAGCCCCCACACAAAGCCTTGTGTAAGCTCTGAAACATACTGCCTTCATTCCCTTTCATTCATGGTTGAGCAGCAAGATTAGGCCATGAGAGGCAGTAGTGCTTCTTGAGTTGTTTGTTTTTCTGGCTGCAATCCATCCTTATCCTAGATGCAACGGGAAGACATACATAAAACAAATTGCTCGCTTTATTTTCTAATGGAATTGACATACTGCTCTCAGGTTTCAGGATATGCTGTTAATCGGCGTTGTTCGAAGATCAAGTGACTACTCAAAGAAATTAAAAGCAGATACAGGGGAATGAGGCAGAGCGTTGGGTTACAGTCAAATGACCCAATTACAGTCATAAAGAAGCGCAACGCTGGACTCTGATTTGCTGAGCTGAAACTGTGGTACTTCCCCCCTGTCTGAGTCACTGGCAGGACATTTTCACTGCTGTACTAAAACGTGCTGGTCATATTTTCTCATTGAAAGTGAAACTTTTAAAAATACATTGCATTCCACTTGGTTTTTCTGCAGGGAAATTTTACCTTATTTTAGATGGTTAAATCATTTCCCTCTTTTAGGTTGCCACAGACACATTTTACACGTTTCACATGAACTAGCTCAACCCGAAAAACAATTGATGTGCATTCATGTCTTCTTTGAAAATAATAAACAGAAAGTTTTTATTGTCACTGTCGGAACAAAACCTCCTAAAATAACTTTACAGAAGGACAAACGTAACTTTGACTGACATAAGTTAATGTAACAGCATTCTATTGTAAGTTAGTTTGGATCATTTCAGTTGGCCTGTTCATGAAATTTGACACAGTGAAAATTGGCTTTTTTGAAAAAGAAAAAGAGAAGTTAAAAATAACAAAAAATGGAGATACAGGGTTCTATTTGGATAGTGATGTTACGTTCTTCAAGAATGGATTTTCTTGAATATTCTTCTCTTAAAGTTCTTTACCTTTGCTCTGTCACCTTTTGCTGCCAAGGATCAAACTTCATGGATTTTCATCACTCTTGTTTTAGTTAGAATCACAATCAGAATCAGAATCACTTTACTTCACGAAGTATGTAAAACATACAAGGAATTTGTCTTGGTGAGTGC